CGGGCTGGGATCCCCGCTGCCGAGCCCCCAGCAGCGGCTGGGCAGGCAGCGCCAGCCCCCGCTCCGTCCCACTTCCCGCCGCATCCCGCTCGGAGCCGGGCACCCGCCGGAGGGAGCGCCCGGCGCGGCTCGCATCGGGATTTTCCCTGCCTTTGGGGCCCGGCTTTTTGCTGGCTCGGCCTCGTGCGGGGCCCGCGGGGCTCCGTGCTTCCCGTGTGCCCCAGGCGGGAGCAGCTGCAGCGCCGCATTCCCGGGATGCGTGTCGGGCGCCAGCCCCGCCGGGATGTGCGGCAGGGGGCGAAGGGCTCCAGCACGGAGCAGCTGCCGCAGCCGAGGGGCGGGAGGCATCCCGGGGAGCTCGCCCTGCCCTGGGAATGCGCTGCTCCCATCCATACCGGCTCCCTCCGGCTCGGGAGACGCATCCCGGGAAGCTTGCCCTGCCACGGGAATCCCCTGCTCCCATCCGTACCGCCTCCCCCCAGCTCCACAGGCGAATCCCAGGGAGCTCGCCCTGCCCCAGGAATCCGCTGCTCCCGTCCGTGCCAGTTCCAAAGCCGCATCCCAGGGAGCTCGCCCTGCTGCGGGAATCCGCTGCTCTGATCCGTGCCGGCTCCCAGAGCCGGCAGCTCGCGGGCCCTGTATCCGCAGGGATACATCCATACGTGGGGGCTCCGGGCCAGCCCCGTGTCCGCAATTCCCGTTTCCCGTGGGGCGCTCCTGGCTCCCTGTGGTCCCTGCTCAGCCCGGGACCCTGGGGTCCCCTCCTGTTTCCCGGCACTCGCCCGGCCGAGGCGCCGGCTACTCCCGCCTCGCGTGCGGATCTGGGAAGCAGCTCTCGTGGGAAGGCGCTCGCGGAGCCGTGGCCGCAGCGCGTTCCCGTGAGGCGCAGGGCTCGGAAGCGCCATCCAGGGACACGCTGTGCCCGGCCGCGTCCCCATGCCTGTGTCCGCATGTCCCCAGGGAGCCGGGCAGCGCTCCTGGGACCACAAGAGCCTTGGCATCTGCTCTGTGCATGGAGGGGACTTGGGAATAGCTGTGTCCAGCCTTTCCTGGACCCGCTCCAGCTTCTTGTCCCGCTGTCCCGGGAGAGCCCCATCCCCATGGCCCCACGGAGGCTCCCGGTGTCCCGGGTGATGCCGCGTGGCCCCACGGAGGCTCCCGGCGTCCCGGGCGGCACCGGGCCGGGCCCGGCGCCCTTTGCCCGCTCCGGAGGCGGCCGCGCCCGCAGGTGCAGCCCGGGCGGGCCCGGAAGGGGACGTTTCCTGCCGCCGCTGTCACCGYGTGCGCGCGCTGGGGACGGGACGGGCCGCGCGCTCCCAGCCCGCTTCCTTCCTCGTGCCCGGCCCCGGGGGGACGTGCAGAGCTGCCCTTCCCGGACGGGCGCTTCCCGAGGCCGCGCGTGCCGGAGCGCTGGCCCGGGATCGTGGGTCGCGTGGGTGACGGTGCTGCGGGCTCATGGATCCGTCCATCCCGCAGGACACGGCACCGTCACCCGCATGTTCCCAGCCCGGAGCTCCGAGGCCRCAGCCGCTCCGCTCCCTTCCCCATCCCCACATGTGGGGTGCCTCCCCATCCCCCTTGGCCCYTTGTTTTGGGGCCAGCTGCTGCGTTTTGGGGTGCCTGAGCCCGGGCGGGAGCCTCCTGGCCCTGGCCCCTGCCTCCATCCTCCSTGCTGCCTTACCCGGCCTCCCGCATTCCTGCCTCCCTCCCTTCCCTTCCTCCCCCTCCTGCCGCTTGTTTGACCATCCCGGAGTTTGCTCCGTCGCCAGGGAAGGACGCGGCTCTTGGAGCGCTGGGTGTCCCCAGCCCCACCGGTGTCTTGGGACTGGCCCCGGGTTCTGTCCCCGCCGTTCTGTCCCAGCCCTTGAGCTGGGATCCTGTCCCTCCCGGCTGTATCCCGAGTTCCCAGCCCGCCGCCGGGCTGGCTCTCTGGGAATCCTTGGCCGGAGGCCGGGAGTCGTCCGGGTTGGCTCCCGGCTCCTGGAGGAGCTGCTGATCTTGGCCACGGAGCAGCGACCGTGGCGGGTGGGAACGGCCCCGCTCGGAGCCGGGATCCAGCCCGGCTCCCAGACGGGACCACCCGCCTTGCCCAGGGGCTTCCTGGTGGCGGGAATGCTGGAGCCGCAGGAGGCACCATCCGTGTCCCGGGAGGTGGCACCTGCGGGATCCGCGGGACCCTGTGAGTGCAGCCCTGAGTCACCGACTACCCTGAGTCACCTCCCCTTGAGGCAGGGGGGACAGCAGCGCCCGGCTGTCCCCCATGAGGAGCCCGGGAAGGGACAGGGCGACATGGAGCATCCCGCTTGGAGCGGCGGGCACCGCGTCCCCTGCATTGCCCACATCCCGGCGCTCTCGGTGCGGCCGAGCCCCCCGCTCCTTCCGGAGCCGCTGCGGGCGCCCGCCGGTGCCGCTGACTCAGCCGGAGCGGTGCCCGGCGCGGGCGCTGCCGGGGGCCCCGCATTCCTGCTGCGCCTGAGTCACCGGCACGGCGCTGCCGGGACCTGCCCGGCTGCCGCCTTCCCTTTGCAGCCCCGCTTCGTGCCCGGGGGGAGCTGGCGCTTGGCTTGTGCCCCTTGGCGCCCGGTGTGGGACACCCGGGGCAGCGGGGTGGCCTTGCCTGCTTACCGGTGCCGGCGGCCACCGAGGCACCTGGCAGGCAGCGGCCGCGCTCTGCCTGTTTGGGAAAGCCCTTCCCGTGGCCGGCCTCTTCCCCGCCATTGTCCACGGTGTTCCCGAGGACTTCCCACCGGAAAGGCCGCCCTTTCCGCGGCCCGGGTGCGGGCACCCGCACCCATCCCGCTCGCCGCTGCCGCGGGCACGTGTGGGGCTCCCTTTGCTGGAAAGGGCCCCTTGCTCTTCCCTCGGCCTCGTGCGGAAGCACCGGGGGTGTAAACGCCCCGGAGCCGCCCGGGGGGCTGACGGAGCCGGCACGGCGCCGCGTTCCCCGGTCCCGTCCTGCCGCGGCAAGCCCGCATTCCTGCAGGGAAGGGGCGAGCACGTGCGCGTCCGCGCGCCGCCGGCAGCTCCCTGCTTCCCGGCATCCCCTCCCGCCGCCTGCGGCCCCCGCGCCGGGGTCCCCCCTCCCCTGCTCTCGCTGCCGCTGCCTCCGGCCGCGCGTGTTTATCCCGGCATTCCTGGGATATCCTGGCAGGGCCGCGGGAGGCGGCGGGCTTGTCGGACACGACGCAGCTGCGCCGGGCCCCGGCTCAAAGGTTGGCCGGGAAGGGGCCCCGCTGTTTACACGCGCGGGGGGCCCCGGCCTCCTCTTCCCGGCGCTGCCGGAGCCGGGCCGGATCGCTCGGCGTTCCGGCCGCCGCGGCTCCTGCCGTTCCCACACCCCCATGTGCGCTGGGATCGAGGCCTTTGCCAGGAGCTCCGTGTGGGAATGGAGCTGGCAGAGCGCCCATCCATCCTGCTGCCCGCAGCAGGTCCCGGCTGTCCCCAGCCTCGCAGCGCATCCGTGTCCCGCTGCCGGGGGGCACGGAGGGCACCCGCGGCGGTGCCGGGACCGCCGCTTCCCGCTCCATCCTGCGGGAGCGGGGGAAGGCGCCGGAAGGGCTGGCACGAGGTGCCCTGGGGCAGCATTTTCCTGGGGCTGATTCAGCTCCCCGGGGAGCTCCCGCTTCCCGGCACCGCGTGGGCCTTGGCTCCTCTCGCCCRGCCCGCGGCACGGGGCCAACTTGGCCTCCCCGCGCCAGCCCCGGAGCCTGCAGCGCTCGCGCAGGGCCCCATGCACCGTCCCCTCCGCGTTGTCACCGGCCTGGCCGTCCTCGGCTGCTTTCTGCACCGCTCGACGTGCCAGAGGGCTGAAACACGGGGGCCACCGCTGCCTCCCGTCACGCGTTCCTCGTTCCCCGCAGGCTGCTGGTCGGGGCGCCCCGGGATGTGGAACCGGAGAACGGCACGCGCACGGGCGCCGTCTACGCCTGCCCGCTCTCCGCCTCGCGCAGCGACTGCCAGCGCCTCGACATGGAGCTCAAGAGTATGTGAGCGCCCCGGGGCCCCCGTGCTTTTCCGCGGCTCCGGAGCTCTCGCCCTGACCCTGGCGCCGCCTCTCCCTGCCGTAGGCGAGCCGGACAAGCACCTCATCGAGGACATGTGGCTGGGGGTGACGGTGGCCAGCCAGCGGCAGCCCGCGGGCAGGGTCCTGGTGAGTCCCGCGCGCCCTGCGCCGGCCCCGCGTCGCCTCTCTTGCCCTGTCCCTCCGCTGGGTGACAGGGTGCACAGGTCACCGCTCCGGTGCAGGGTATCGGGGTGCACAGGTTGATGCTTGCGTCAGGCGGAGGGGGCAGCGTGTGGGGTGTAGGGACCACCGGGCCATGCAGGGCAGTTGTGCTGGATGGACCCTACGCCTGKGGTTAGGGTCCCTGGTGGGATCTGGGACCCTAGGGACCCTGGGACCCGGATCTGGGGGCTCTAAGGCTAGGGAAGGTGCTACATAGACCCTATGGAGCAGCAGAGTGACATCACAACGTATGGGTCCTTACTGGCAGGACAGTATTGCCAAACGTGCCCTGATGTCCATATGGGAACGGGGACAGCGTGTGGGCTTGGGGCCGGAGGGGCCTGTGCGCCCGGTGCCCTGGGGAYGATGCCCGTCCGTGCCGGCAGGCCTGCGCGCACCGCTACACCAAGGTGCTGTGGTCGGGCAGCGAGGACCAGCGGCGCATGGTGGGCAAGTGCTACGTGCGGGGCAACGACCTGCGCCTCAACATCAGCGACGAGTGGCAGACCTACCACAACGAGATGTGCAACTCCAACACGGACGCGGAGGAGAGCGGCATGTGCCAGATGGGCACCAGCGCCGGCTTCACCTCCAACATCATCTACTTCGGGGCGCCCGGCGCCTACAACTGGCAGGGTTTGTGTCGCATGTGTGCCCCTGTGCGTGCATGGCTGCATGCCCAGCGGGCCGGCCGTTGCATGCAGCTTGCATGCAGCGGGTGGCAGCAGGCTGCTGACCAGGGGCTCGTTTCTGCCCTGCTGCTGCAGGCACCAACTACGTGCTGCAGCGGGAGATGTGGGACCTGCACGACTTCTCCTACCCCAACGAGAAGAACGGCAACACCTACATAGGTGAGGAGCGGGGTCCCCGGGGGCGCCGGGGTCTGGGGGCGGTTGGGGCATGCGGGTTTAGGGAGGAGGCTTGGGGAGAGCTTGCAGAGGGACACGGGCATGCGGGCGCGTGGCATGGGGTGGGATCCCCGCGTGACGGCGGCGCCTACACCGCAGGCTACGCGGCGGCGATGGGCAGCGGGGTGCTGCAGCAGGACGCCGTGACGGTGGTGTCGGGCGCGCCGCGCTACCAGCACACGGGCGCCGTGTACCTGCTGGGCCGCAGCCCGCAGCACACGCTGCAGAGGCGCCTGCTGCTCCGCGGCCACCAGGTCGGCTCCTACTTCGGCAGCGCCCTGGCCTTGGCCGACCTCAACAACGACGGGTGAGCCCGGCCGCGCCGGCCCTTGCAGCGCTGGGGCTCCCTTGGGGCAGCCCCTTGCCCCAAGGAGGCTTGGGGGGCAGCGTGGGCTGCAATTGCCCTGGGGGATCCAGTGGCCCGGGGGTGGGAGGATCTGTCATTCTGGGGGCGCTGGGCTCCTTTGGGGGGTCTCGCAGCTCTTTAGGGGTGCTGTGCCTTCCTGTGGCTTTTGGGGTCCTTTGGGGGGGGTTGTCAGCGTGGGTGCTGTGAAGACGCCCCCGTCGCAGCCCCTGGCCCTGATGGGCGCCCGCTCCCCGCAGGTGGCAGGACCTGGTGGTGGGAGCCCCCTACTACTTCAAGCGCAAGCAGGAGGTGGGGGGCGCCGTGTACGTCTACATGAACGAGGGGGGCGCCTTCGGCCCCCAGCCCAGCCGGGTGCTCACCGGGCCCAGCTACTCGGCCTTCGGCTTCGCCGTGGCCGCCATCGGCGACCTCAACCAGGACGGCTTCCAGGGTGAGGGGCTGGGGCGCCCCGGCGGGTGCTGTGGGGTTGCGGGGAGGTCTTTGGGGTGTGTGTGGGGGGTGTCATGAGCTTTGGGGTGGTGGAGGTGTCTGGGGAGGGCTTGGAGTGCACAGGAAGGGGGGGTACTTGGGGGGCATTTGAGGAATTTAAGGGTATTTGGAAAGGGGCATTTGAGGAAGGGAAGGGGCGGGTGAGGGTGAGATGGGGAGATTGAGGAGGCTGCAGGGGAACCGCCCGGCAGCCCCTGCCCCATGGGACCCACCGGGCTCCTCTCCCCACAGATATCGCTGTGGGGGCTCCTTTCGAGGGGCCTGGCAAGGTCTACATCTACCACGGCAGCGCAGAGGGTCTGGTGGACAAAGCGCGGCAGGTAACGGCCCCGGGGGGGCTCCCTCAGCCGGCCAGGGGGGTCAGGGCTGCCTCTGAGCATCCTCCGCACTAGGGCTGGGATGAGGGGCATCCGCGGATCCGCGGGCACGAGGGGTGGGTGGCACCGGGCAGCAGGAGACACCCCGTTCTGCCGTGCCCCCCCGCCAGGTGATCGGCGGCTCGGATCTGGGTCCCGCCAGCATGCGGACCTTCGGGTACTCGCTGAGCGGCGGGCTCGATGTGGACAGCAACTCCTACCCCGACCTCCTGGTGGGCAGCTTGGAGGAGAGGATTGCCCTGCTCAGGTAAGGGAGCAGGGGCCGCAGCACGTCCCCTGGCCCCCTGGCYTGGCACGGCCACCCCCTGGCCCTGGGCRCCATCCCTGCCCTTCCAAGCGCCCYGCTCGTGCCGCGGGTGCCGAGGGGGAGGCTGCTCCCGCGCCGGAGGCTCGGCTGAGCCCTGTCTCGCTGCTCAGAGCCCGTCCTGTGATCAACATCCTCAACAAGACGTTGACGGTGAACCCCAGCAAGGTGGACCCTGCCCGCTGCACCCCCACCTCCTGGTGAGGCCCCCGGCGCGGCCGGCGCCGCTCGTGGCCCTGCGCCGTGGGCAGCCCTGCTCACAGCCTCCTTCCCCCRCAGCATCGAGGTGACCGTCTGCTTCTCCTACAACCAGAGCGCCGGCGACCCCGGCTACAAGGAGACCATCAGTGAGTGAGGAGGGGAGCAGGCGCGGGCCCACGGGGACGCGTCCGAGTGGGGCGCGGGGGACACAATTGCAGGCAAGGGGTGCATCCACGGAGCGGGCATGCAAGCTGTGTATGGGGGATGTGTCAACAGGGCATGCGTGTGGTTGTGTGCACGGGATTGCGCGGGATCGCATGGGATTGCGCGGGATCGCATGGGATTGCACGGGATTGCACGCGGTTGCGGGACCCCCACGGCTCTGCTTTCCCCCACCCCGGCAGCCCTGGAGTACACGCTGGAGGCGGACAAGGAGCGGCACCCGCCCAGGGTGAGGTTCCTGGAGACGCACTCGGCCACCTACCGCGGCCTCTTCCGTATGCCTGGCACCCGCTGCGAGACCAAGGAGCTGCTGCTGGTGGTGAGTGGGTGCGAGCGGGCGCCTGTGCGCGCTGCAAGCTGGATCAGGGAGATGGGGGGGGACGCGGTGAGGTGCAAAGGCTCCTGCGAACACGCGGGACAGGCATTTTCCAGCAGGAGAGGAGGTCTGAGTCCAGGCTGCACTTGTGATGAGTTTGATGCATCTCATGGGTGCGCGTGTCCCTGGATGTGGCTGCTTTGCTGTAGCTGGATGCAGGGAGCATCAGCGCTTTTCCTGCATCCYGCAGGAGAACATCCGGGACAAGCTGCACCCCATCGTGCTCACCATGAACTACTCGCTGGTGGAGAAGCCAAGGGCCTTCCAGCTGGGCCTCCGCTCCCTCGATGCATTCCCTGTCCTCAACGCCGACCAGTCACACGAGAACGAGACGAAGGTACCGGGGGAGCAGGCGAATAGGCTGGTTGGGGCATCCAAGGGACATAGGAGCCCTCCAGGCTGTGCCCGTGCCTCAGTGTCCCCCTGTGTAAATGGAACAGACACATCCCCAAGAGCTGGGCTCTGAGCCTGGCTTTGTGCTAGAGGACACTCAGGGCAGGCACTAACACAGGGACGTCCCTGCCCCTCAGATCGAGTTCCAGAAGGAGTGTGGCCTGGACAACAAGTGCTACAGCAACCTCCAGCTTCAGAGCAGCTTTGTGAATGACCAGAACCAGCCGCTGCCCAGGTGAGCACCGGCAGCGCCCGGTCTGTGCACCTCTGCTGTCCTCTGCGCCATCCCCTGCCTGCCTTGGGCCACCCCTTGGCCACAGTGTCCCCATCTCAGCACGTGCCAGCACCTCCATCCCGCTGGGGTGGGTGTGTGGTGGGTGGCAGCACGCGGGCACCGCTGCGCTGAGCGTGGCCRGTCTCTGCTGGGCGCAGGCTCAACGGGACGCAGGTGCTGCAGTACAGCCAGGACATGCGGAAGCTCTACCTGAGCGTGAACATCACCAACAAGCCCAGCACGGCCTCCGACGGCGAGGACGCCCACGAGGCCCTGCTCAACGTCACGGCGCCCGCGACCCTGCTGCCCTCCTCCGTCCGCCCGGTAAGGGCTGTCCCCCCCTGCTCCCCAGCTGGGAGAGGGGCAAAGGCCCCGACTTGGCACTGCCAGGAGGTTCCTCACGCCCTCGCCCTCCGCAGACCGGCGCCTGCAGCTTTGGCGAGACGGTGCTGTGCGAGCTGGGCAACCCCTTCAAGAGGAACCAGAGGGTGAGCGCTCTCCTCAGCCCAGCCGGGACCCGGCGGGCGGGCGGGGGTCTGGCCGGGCTGCTCCAAAGTCCGCCCGTGTTGCAGGCGGAGCTCATCATCATCTTCGAGGTCATCGGCATCACGCTGGACACGCGGGAGGTCTCCGTGTGGCTGGACCTAACCACGTGCGTGGCCCTGGGCGGGCAGGGGGCTTGTTGGGAAGCAGGGCCTGGGGAAAGATGCCTGGAGGGGATGTCGGTTCCTCTTTCTTTCCTTTCCCCTTTCCTTTCCCCTTTCCTTTCCCCTTTCCTTTCCCCTTTCCTTTCCCCTTTCCTTTCCCCTTTCCTTTCCCCTTTCCTTTCC